CTGACTTGTTCGACACCGTCTTCCGGCCCGAGTTGGGCTTGCTCGTACGCAGAGTTGAGGCCACCAACGGTCAAGTGGATTGGTTTGGGAAGACCTGTATTTCCCGTCAGTAAGAAGGATCGGTGTTGATGTTGGCAGTATCTCGTGGTAATTCTATACATACCTGTTGAACCTGAAGTGTGTAAGATCAAGCTGGGAGCCGTCACATCGCGACTATGTCTTCCCTTGTAGTGCTCGGCAGGAAGACTTGAATCAAGCAGCTCTGCCGTAGCGGGCGCTTGATAGACTTGTAGACTGGGTACTGCATCTTTAATAACCTCGACCTGCGGCATGGTCTCTACTGTGCTCAAGAAGATGGTACATGCTGTCTTCTCCACGAGTGATTTTTGTCCCTCGAGTGAGTTGCGCGGTGATGTGAATAATGGTACATAGCCTGTCTTCAGGGCTGCAGCTAGCACCACGAGGTATCTCAGGTCGTTCGCACTATTCCGGTCAGTCAGCATGTAACGTCGGAACATCATGATCTAGAAATATTGGCAACTCACCCCATATATCCGATAGTTTGGCCTGCTTGTTTCGCAACACCACATGTCTTCTCAATCCAACGCGACATGTTATTCACGGCGCGGGCAAAATCCGCATACGTAAAATGATGCCATCCTTCGTCGAGACTGGTGGTTGAGCGTGGGACAATAGCCCAAGTCGAATTCGAGGCGGACTCGGCTGCAGCGTCGATGTAGTCAGGTATCGCTGTTGCTTGTTGCTTTTGCTTTTGTATAGCTGCCATGTTGAGCAGAGCGCTTTACGGACTGGAAGTTGGTACAGTGTGTGGATACGAAAATTGCTTTTGGAAGTGGGCTTGAGAAATGCTGATGAGTACAAGATGCTGTGAAGTGCTCGGGTAGGCGTCGATTGGTGATTCAATTTCTTGAGGTCCTTTGGCGACTCCAGTGACTGGTTGTAAGAGTAGAAGGCTAAGTAGTGATTTGATTGTGATATCGTTTACTGGAGGGAAACGGCCTTCATATATCACGATCGGAGGTAACGCGTCAAATTGAACGGGTACGCCAGCGCAGACCCCAACCCTACAGCATGCCGTCATGTTTCATCGGAAGAGCGTACCATCGCCATGCCGATTCTTCTCCGAAGAACTTCGGTGGAGCATGAGGCATAAAAGTTGCGCAATGTGCTACAGTGGGCCAACTCGTACGAATCAACAGAGACAGCACAGCTGCTTGGTGTAAGCTGAACAATGTCAATTTGATTCTGATGCTCATGAAAGGTTCGCTTTCCGCGTAACTTAGAGAGCGTCATTACGCTGAAATAACGTCAGTTCTAGTGTTGAAAGTTGTGGTGTATGGATGACGCAGCCAAGCACATCCCTGTGCACATCACCTCGGCCGAGCGACATTTCTGGTTCTGGAAGCTGACCATTTTATATCCGACAATCGCAGCACCCACTAAAAGCAAGCGACAGATACACAAGCCTTGACAGGCGCGGCCCGCTCGGCGCCACGAAGCTTGGTTCGGGTCTTGAAGGGAACGAGGCTGGTTCTGCTTTGTTGTCCTTCAGGATAGCGGTGTGCTCCCAACGCTTACAGTGTCCTACCCGACCATTTGAGTGGATTCGCGATTATGCTCGCCACAATTTACAAAGTGATTACTGATATCAAGTAGGAAGGGTCAGGCGTATTACGACGCAGTATCAAAGTACACGGGTATCAAATATCGCCTTAAACACAGGATTCTCTATCACATCACGCGGCTGAGGGTGCGACCCTTGGCGTTTCCTTTTCCTTCTCTTTTGATCTCTGAGAACCTTTTCTCCGTCTCCGCTCCGGCTTGTAAACATCGTTGAAGTTTATGTTAACAGCCAGCATCTTCAGTTCACCGTCAGGCGAGTGTACTAGATCACCAAGCAAGATGCTGATTCTGGCTCGGAAGTCTTCCGTCAACTGACTTAAACGCTTTTGTAGTGCTGGCAAAACATCGTCCTCGGCCGAGCCTGTCATACCGATCTTGAGCAGAGGTGGTGGGAAAGGCGATTCATCCTGTCGAGATGCTGCGCGCGAATGCGATCGAGAAAAAGGGTCTGCAGACGAGCTGTCCTTCTCAGACAGACCCCAGCGACCTGCTGCTGTGCGGGTCTCGATCTTGGCCGCATGCTCCTGTCGGCGGGTGAACTCAGCGACAGAGAAGGAGTACAAGCCGTCTACTGCGTCTTTATATGCCAGCATCGTCTTCAATAGCTCGTGCAACTGACCAGTAAAGTCGATGCTTGAGCTTCCAAGGAGACCTTTCCGCGTGATGTTATTGAGGTAGATGGCATGAGCTTCGATCATGTCGTCCAGTGTGCTTTCCGGCTTGTTCAGCGCTCCCTGTAGATCAATCCACGATGATTCAATAACCTCAAAGAGAATGTAGTGCTGCAACTGGTTGACGAAATGAACCATCTCAGCCATTGCACAGCGCGCTTTCTTCCAATCTGATCCGACTTTATCAGCTACAGTACCGAGAACGCCACGAGCACCAGTCATGCACCGACGCCATGTTGAACCAAGAGCAAACTCGACACGCTTAACACGCCAGAGAAAGTTGAAGACTTTGAGGTATTGCTTGGAGCCAAACGGTGTGACGATGACATCAACGGGTGCATCGATCTTATATTCGAGGGTGAAGACATCCCATCCAATCTCCCCGTGCGACAGCTCCAGCATGCGTGAGTCGAGGCGGCGTAGTACGTCAGAAGTATCAAATTGAGCGTTCGAGTTTCTAACAGCGTGCTCGAGCTGAGCAGTGAGGGTGTGCCGATATTGTGTGTTGGCTGGCCGGTCAAGGTTGGATGACAGCGACTCCATCAGGACAGCGATGAAGTCGCCAGCGCCCAGTAGCATATACTGCTTCAGAGCCTGGAGATGATCAAAAAGCTTGAACTTGTTCGCCATCAGGTCGATTAGGCGGGCCATTGTGGTCTTGTAAGCATCGCCAATGGAGCGTTCGAGATTGGCTGTATCACCATACTGTAGTTCCTTTGAGGCTTCCTTGGAGTATTTGTCAACCCATGCTGCGTCTCCGCAACCATAGCGAATGAAGTTGAGGGTCTTGCCGATTAAGAAGACCTTCCTGGCGAAGTCGTCGGTTACGATTGTAGGGACCATCTTGTCGTTCAGTCTGTACTTGTCTTCCCAGACGCTCGTAGCACCTCCTTTCCCCTCGTTCCCATTGGCCTCGAGAATGTCATCCTCGCTCTGTTCAGAGACGAAGAACTCACCAAAGGGATCAGCAAGCTCGCCGTCGTAGACCCATTGGCGGAGCATATCGTAGAAGGGTCGAGTGACGTCCGAGAGGAGGCGCTCGGCGAAGCTCATAACGTACGGATCGCCGTGGTTGAGAGAGAAGGAATGAATGAGGGCTATTAGCTCGCCGCCCTTCTTGCTCTTCGATTCTTCCACCATCAAGCTCATCAGTCGCAAGCCCATGGTCGGTTCTCTTATCCAGATGACACATCGCTTGAGAGTGACACCGGCCTTGCTGACACCCTGTTGCGTTGGTGCGTCGCTCATTTGTGCTAGCGCTCTCTTGATTTGTCCCTCCAAGGTTGCAACAAGCCCCAAGTATGCTCTCAGCTCCTTGGCCAGAGCCGCGCGGAAGCTTTGCTCAATGAGACCGCCATCGTTTGCCTCGACGAATTCGGCTAGGCCTTTGTATAGTATGGCAGGCTCAGCAAGGGTATGCAACAGGCTGACAATGGGCACTGGGAGGGTCGGAGGGAGCTTGAGCGCTGTCGATAGAGGGAAGGTGAGGTTTGTGGACGAGTAGCCTTGGAGCGTGAAGGGCAGCTCTCTCAACAGGATCGGTTCTGAGGGTCCCGTCTCTGCCTTTTCTACGTGGCCTCCATTCGCCTGTTGCTGGTCCTTGGCGGTGTCGGGGCGCCTCTCTCTTCGCTTCTCTGGCTTCTCGACCATTGACGATGGGCGGGTGGATGTAGAGGCTTTGGGCGAGCCGGCGTTGACGGGCAGTTGGGTCAGGCCGGGCTTTGCAAAGGCATCTTGGAAGGCATGTGACGAGGCAGCGACGCTCTGGCGTTTGGAAGGCGTCGTGGGTTCGCGGGAAAAGCCACGCGGATCTTGGACGGGTCGTGGTTCTTGGGAGGCTTCGGCGTTGGGGGACAGGTTGTAGAGAAAGTACAGCATGCGCCATTTCTGGTCCAAGACGGTCTGTGTCTCTAGGCGTGCGAGGAGGTTGTGTAGACGGGCGCTCTTGCGCTGGTCGTTGAGAGGACCCGAGACTGTCGCGCATTAGCTGACAATGGTGCACACTTCAACATGCCCACATACCCTTGCGGTCAATCAGGCTTGCAATATGCTGCACATCAGGCACGAGTGAAGCATCTCCCGCCTCCGTCAGCGCGTCAATGGCAAAGTCGTAAGCGTCCTCAAAGCGCTGGTTTGCCGCTTCTTCGTCGTCATTAGCATCTTCTGGCACGATGCGGACCAGCAGCTCATTCAACGCGTGTTCGACGCGCTCGCGGTGGAGTGTTGCCATGTTGGCGCGCTGTTTATTCACGAATCCATTGGTGTTGACATCGGCGGGGTTGACGCACGTGCGCGTCGGCCAACATGTAGCCCACGCGTCATTCCTCCTCCGATACAGCACACCACATCACCATCGTCACTATCATTCAGAAACTAGAACTGCAGCTGAACATATACATGACGCAGAACGCTTTGAGTCATGGAGAGCACGGTTTCAATGTCTGCGACGTAGAACGAGTTCGCCTATTGTGCAAAATTACTTCCTAGCCTCAGTCACATTCGAACTGCTCAGCTTCAATCTGGACAAATCGACAGCATCGAGGAAGTTGAAGCCACTCCTCTGCTTCCTGAGAATTGTTTCTTACTTTCCGTTACCGCGTTGTATTCGTAATATCTTAATGTCTACTTCAATCATGGGAAAGCTCGGCCTCCAGTATGCATCTTTGAACACATATCAACACCTCTCTAAGCGTCCCTCAGCATACTAGCAACACCAGCCCAAGTTTCCAGAACAGTCGGCCTGATCTGGTTTGCCGGCAGCGAGAAGCCATAGGTACCCTTATCCCTCAGCTCATAGGTGTACGAGTAGGTAGCATTACCCTGCACATCAGTATAATCAGTCGAAGAGCCAGTGGTAGCATACAACGTCGAGCAGCTGGGACCAATGGTGTACGCAGTGCCGGAGACAGCGCGGATAGCCGACTGAGCACGGGTTGCAATGGAACGGTGCTGTGCGTCATTCTCGGCGCGTAGGCTGCAGTCGTAGCCGTAAGGCCACAGGATGTATTGACCGTAGGAGCTGGAGTTGGGGTTAGCGACCTGCTTCGGAGTTTCCGAAGATCAAGATAGTGAGGACTTACTGCACATCGAGGTAAAGGCGAATACCACGCGACGCCTTGAGCGAATCAATTTGCGCTTTGAGGCCACGGTTCTCGGGCGCGTCGCCAGCCGCTACACCCTTGTATGTCTCTGAGCAAGGGTTTGTGGAAGCTCCACCTGCTACTTCCCACTTGTATGGCCAGTTGCCTATGAAGGATGTCAGAGGCTTCAGTCAAGATTCTGTCGCAAGACTTACGGTTGATATCGCGACCAACACATGTGTTACCACTGACGGTCTGTCTGTTCTTGCGCCAAAGACGATCGGTCGTCTGGGAATAGACAAAACCGTCCGGGTTCACAATGGGTGTGATGTAGAAGTCGAACTTATCGACAAGCGACTTGATGCTCGCGTCTGAGCCGTATTTGGTAAGCAGTTGCCATGCAAAGTACCTGAGAGTCTAGAATCAGCATATAGATCTTGCACTGATTGTACGAACAAACTACATACTCGGTAGTCATGGAGGTGATCCACTCCCTTGCGTGAACATTGCCGTGAATGACGACAGCAGGCTTTGAGCCCTTTCCACCGCTACCCCAGATGTGGATACCAGTCAAGGCTCGTCCTTGAACAGAGGTGCCAACAGTGTAGATCTCGGACTGTCCAGTGTATCCGGCTTGCAGATCCCGAAGGAACTGAAGGTGGTCGGCATATGGGTGATAGGCTGTGAACCAAGTCTCACTGGGAACTGCGGATGGTCAATCGATGTCATCACAACTGCTTGGTCGTTACAAACCAGCGTAAACGCTCATCTCGCCTTCCTCTGCAAGAGCTGCGCCGACGTCCTCGTTCAGCACTTTGCTCTCAGCGACCAATGCAGTCAGGGCGTCGACATTCTCGGGCGAAACGACAACGTCTAATTCGGCGGACGTGCCGGGGTTAAGGACATGCGCAGCCAAGTTCTCGATTTCTCCCTTGACAGCATCAGTGCTAGACACGCGTAAGACCTTGAAGCCACTGTAATCGACCTTCTTGCCTGCCCTGGGGACGACAGTGCCAAGCGCCGTAGAAGAAAGAAGAAGTGCTGAAGTAAGGATGGTGGTCTTCATGATGGATGGTGGATGCGATGACTCCTGGGCAGTGCAGGATGGCATGGGGAAAGCACTTCCTTTTAAGCAATGTAGTAGTCATACCAGTCCATAACTGACCTTCCCATCCAGTATCTAGCACCACCGATACCTTCGTTCTTGTCATCCTCGAGTGTCGCATCGATTAGGCAGGTAGTCGCCCCATGTTCCCGGTCGATCTGCTGCAAGCACGGGAGATGTACGCTCGAAAGAGCCCAACGTAGATGATGCAAGCGCCGGAGATTAGTATGTGAAGGCTCTCGGAGGTCTACTCGAGAATCTGGACGGCGGATTAATATACTGAGCTACTTGGCATATTTTCTTGACGTCGTAGGCACACAAGCGTGATTGGTGCGGGCGGTTTTAGTCTGTCGCATTAGGCAGGTGCACGTTTCGGAGACTATGCTGGCTTGTCTTGGCTACTAGATAGGCCAAATACGGGGCTTGGATAGTGCCAGGTACGTGATCTCGTGGTGTTTGTTAGTAAGTTGACGTGCTCCAGTATGGTGAGTATCTGGTGCGAAGCGAACGTCTGGAATCGGAAGGAGGATGCATATTGAGCAGCCACAGTATGGTCTGCATGTGCCTCGACAACAACTTGTTTGGATATACGAGATGCAAGTGATACTATGGCGTTCTCTTAGGAACGTGGAACGCCCAACTCCCTCAACACGTTCGCATAGCCGACCCTAGACCATTTATCCACATGCTCTTTGCCGGTTACCCATACACTTCCCAGCATTCCTCCAGCATTCGCACTTGCTCCTTCTGTGGTACCTGCCCGACGTGGAACGACCACGAGACGATCAGCCCACATGACGACGTTGTGTGGAGGAGTATCATCTTCTTCAGTTTCCATAGATGACCGACACTGTGAGAGAAGCTTTTTGTACGCATCAACAACGGTTGAGGCTGAAGTGTCCTTGAACCCATGCTTGAACTCATGAACGAAGAATTGATAAGGTACCTTCTTGGACGAATCGTGAAGAGAGGAGATGATATAGTCGAAAGCATGTGGTGGCCCTTTCAAGCCCTGGAGATGCTTGTGCACCCTACTGCATCCACCTCTCTCCCCACAGTTGAAGATGACGTACATGTTTGGAAGCTTTCGCAAAACTTCAAGCATGACTGTAAAATCTTCTGCGTCAAGAGCCTCGTGTTGACGCTTGTACGAGTCCAAGGTCGTCATCAGTAACTGCGGCCTATCCACACAGAATAGGTTCAGTGCTAGGTCGTGCGTTCCGTTGATCTGCTTGATCATGATTCGCTCGTCCGGGCAAAACATGTCGCTTCCTGGACCCAATTTTCGCGATTGATTGAAGGCATGGTTGGTAGCACCCACTGTGTGAGGTTTTGTAGCTAGTGCTGGGCAGATGCGAAACTCCATCTTGACATGGCATGAGTACGGGTTCAGCTTCTCTGAGGATACTAGACTAGCTTACAGGGTACCCTTCATCTTCCACTTCGATCGACTCATAGGGCCCGTATAAAATGACATGTTCTGATGCAAGTTTGTCGAACGTTTTGATCAGGGCAGCCTCGGTTACGTCGTCCATATTGCAGGCCTGGTGAGATTGCGACGCAGAAGATGCATGTGTCGGTGAGTCTGCTACGAGGCTACCAGGCCTGTGCTCAAAGCTACGGAGTTAGTGGCGTATAACCGAAACAGAGCAGAACACCACAAGGAAACGGTTAAAGGTCATGGAGGTTATGTAGCATTTGCAGCTAAACAATCCAAAGAGAGACATGCAGCACACAAGCGCCCCGAAACTGAGGGACTAGTAACAAGATGTCACCAGCCAGAAATGAAAATGCCATCGTCGATTATAAAACATATATGCCCCTTTCCAAGATGCAGTCTCCCAGGCACAGAGATGAAGCAGTGTATTGGATGTGGGTGCAGTGCCGGGGTATCGTGGTATCGTAGTGAATGAGGTAGAACTATGCCGTCTCAGGCTTGGCAGAAAGTGGCCGCTCTACCAGGACATAGTCAGCACTGGTAGTCGATGTAGGAGTCGGTGTCTCTGGTAGCGCACCTGGCATGTTTTGGGTCTTTTGGGCAAGGGGGCTGGCGGCCCCTTGTAACCGAGCGTTGTCTTGTTCGCGGTGCGTGTCCCGCTTCGCTGGTGGAGAGTTGCTCTTTGCCTGGTTCAGGCGCTCTTCGGCGGCCTTGAGCCTTGCCTCGAGGGCTTCAAGCTCCTTGGTCTGGGTGGTGACTGCCTGCTTCCTGCGCGCCTGTCAGCCGGCTCCAAGTAGCGGTCAAGATGGCGAAAGCGTACTTCTCAAGGACAGTCTTATCCAGGTTCTCGAGACCGCCGTCCAGGTTGAAGAGGCTGTCGAGCTCTGACATGAAGTTGCGCGCTACCGTGCTACAGGGCGTGGTCAGTCTCAGACAGGCGGGAGCTATGCTAGCGCCGGGAGAGCTCACGATTGAGGGCGGTTGTTTGGCTTCCAGCCTTGGTCTGGATCCTCCATGGTGACGGACTGTGCAGGGTAGGAAGAAGTCATGATGGAGGGATGGGGGTGGACAGGAACAGGTTATGCAGGATGCAGGCGGCGTGGAGAGGCTCGGGGATGAGTGGATATATTTATGGGCTGGAACAAGATGGGACAAGAGTCGGCAGGTGGCTCAGCGGATCAAAGATGTTTCATTTGACTCAGCCAGACCTGGAATGGGAGGGAGGCAGCATAATATGGCTGCCCTGGACTGGAGATGGAAGGACGATTGCAATGTCAGGAAAAGGGGATGCCTATGCCCCCAAACTAATTTGGGCGTAGATCGCATGTGGAGCTTAGAGGAAGGAGAGTTTGGATGCGCCGCAGCTCCCGAGAGCCCGACGAAGAATGGCCGACGAGATACAGGTGCACAACGACGGCGAGAAGTCACAATTGCATGTACAGATGCGGGTTCGAGCTATAACGAAGCTTGCCGAAAGTATCGCAGTACGCGTGGTAAAGGTCCCGCCGTCTGCTCGAGTCTGGCCCCGCGCTCGCGTGAAGGCGACGTGACGCCGGGCGCCGCTGATTGGCCCAGGTCAGGGGCAGCCCGATGTAGGCGTCAGGTTCAGGCGGCTGGGCTACGAAACCACCGACGACAATTTGCGACATTGCGACAATCTCCCCCATCCACACCAAGCGCCCATCCATCTCGCACAATTTCCCCGCCCGACGCGCCCATTTCCTCGAGTCGCATGCGATGCCCGTCGGCCTGCCCCAGTAGACTGTCTCCCCCAACACAGCAGCCGTGGCTCCCCTTCCGCCCCGAGCCCATCGCCCTCGCGCTGCAGACGCCTGGGGGATGAATCCTAGCCTCTCCGCCTACACCAACCTCGAGTCGCTGCTGCTGTTCCAGTGCCTCCATGCCTACGGCGTAGCGCCCGCCGTCTTCGGCAGGATATCCGACCTGCTGAAGAAACACCCGGACATCACCGCCCACAAGTACTTCCAGCCCGGCCGCCTCAGTCCCGATGCACTGCGCAACTTCTACCTGGAGCGTCTGAAGAGGGAGATTGAGTACGAGCAGGGCGCCGACAGCGATGGCCACCAGAATGGGGAAGTCGCCAGCTCGGGCAAGAGAAAGAGGCATAGCCCAAGCCTGCCAACCGTCCAGGAGTCGCTGCAACACCAACACCTGATACCGAAGCTCGTCACGAAGCTCTACGCGTCGTACCGCTACGAGATCACGGAGCAGATTCGACTAGAGGAGGAGCGCTACGAGAGGCTGCAGCGCGAGATCAATGGCATCGAGCGTGGGGAGTGGGACGACCAGCTGAGAGAGAGGGAGCGGGAGCGGGAGCGGTCGAGCGGTCGCACACCATCGTCGCGAAGCCCTCAGCTGCCTACGGAGTCGCCACAGTCTGCGCCAAAAGCTTTGCAGCCCACTGCCAGCCCGACGCCTGTTCAGAATGGCTCGCGAGGTGGACCCTCCATCGCGCCTTCCCCAGATTCTACCCAACAACAACAACCGGGATCCGCGCCACCACTTCAGAACGGACAGCCCTCACCATCTCCTCGCAAGAAACACCCTTCTTCTGATGGACGGCGTACACCTTCCACTCCGCAACCAAATTCCAACCAGCCGCTAGCACCACCACAGCGATTCCAGCAAACACCACAGCCTCAACCGAATCATAACGGCGCGCCCCATCCGAATGGCCCTCCGTACCCTCAAAACATACAACCTCAGCCAGCGAGCCACCCGCAGCAACCACCGTCGCCAGGTCCCCAATTGCAGCCCCAGCCAGTCCAGAATTATGCGCCGAATGGAATACCTCAGTATGGCCACCCAGGGTCGCAGTTGCCGTATCCTGGACAACCCCAGCAATACCCTCTACAGCAACCCTCAGGGTCTCACTCTCCTGGATTCCATCCTGGACAGCAGCAGCAGCAGAAACCTCATCAACCTCCTCCCGGACACCAGCCATATCCCCCATTGCAACCTCAGATGCCTCAGCCACCACCTCAAGCAGGCTTCATGCTTCCACCGTTCCAGGTTGCACCCCAGGACCCGTCGCGCGTCCACCATCAAGCCGCCGTGCCCCAGCAGCATCCTCAGGTATCTACACCTGTTGGCAACAGACAACTGTCGAGAGCAAGTGTACAAACTCCTGGTACCGGCAAATCAGGCGCACCGCAGATGCATCCTCTTGTTGTCCAGGCGAGACAGTCTGTCTCCACACCGATCAATGCACGCTCACCACAGAGCGCTCTAGCGACTCCAGTATCTGCCAAGAGTCTCTGGAAGCGATCAAGCTTCACTGGACCGCCTGGCACTCCTGCAAGCCCACGCCCCGAGGTGTTGCCTCTCGACGATGTTCCCCCTCTTCTTCGACCGAAACAGACACCACCGAAGTCAAAGACGCAGCGCAAGTCGCGAGTAAAGGGCAAGGGGAAAGAGGTAGAACAGGATCCTGCAACAGACACGGAGACACCGCAAAACTCCAAGCAGTCCCACGACCAAGAAGAAGAATCTTTGCTCGAGCCAGAATCCCGTTCTGGTCGCTCACGGAGGAAAGCACCAGCGAAACGGACAAGACCTGGTAGCATTGCATCCTCTCGAGCAGGTGGCTCTGTGCGAGATCGGAGTAGAAGCCAGTCCATTCTCTCACACACAGACACAATAGCGGCGGACAATGAATCGCAAGCCGGTCATCGGATCAAGTCAGAGCGCGGAACCTCTGTGGAGCCTGTTGACGAGGAAGGTTCCTTCGAGACACCATCGCACATGTCCACGCGCCGACGAGGAGCAGCTCCTACCTCAGCATCGTTTTCCACGCGCCGAAAACGAAATGCCCGCGAGGCTTCTCTCGAGGAGACTGAAGAGACGTCCTTTAGCACGCCAGGCCCGCCCAAGACTCTGGTCGCACCACGGAACTTTGCCCGCACGACGGCCCCCATGATGTATGATATTAATTCACACAAACACGCTTCAACTTTCAATACAGCAGTGCGCGCAAAAGATGCCGAAGGCTACTATGACATAATAAAGCGTCCCACGGATCTCTCCTCCATAAAGAAAGCTATAGCAACAGGGTCAAAGCAAGTTGCGGCTGCCGCGGCAGCGTCCGATAATCCCACTGGTAGTCCTGGTGGCGCGACAGGAGGCGTTGTCGAGTTGCCGATTACGGCAGACAATGTGCCTCCAAAGGCAATTGTCAATGCTGCGCAGCTAGAGAAGGAATTGATGCGCATGTTTGTCAACGCAGTCATGTTCAATCCTGGAGAAGAGGGTGTGGTGAGCGATGCGAGGGATATGTTTCAGACTGTCCAAGGTCTAGTCAGTACATGGAGGGACGTAGAGAGGGACAGTGGACGCGTCGGAAATGAAGGGACGCCGTCAGTGGAGGAAGAGGATCAACCCACGGCGAGCAAGCGAAGGAAGATATAGTATGCTTTTCGAAAGGCCAAGGATACGCACGACTGATCATGGCATGGGTAAGGAGTAAGCGTTGACTTTGAGTAACGTGTTTTATAAGCGAGTCGTCCTTACAAGCGAGTCGTCCACCCAACCAACTTTGATCACCTTTGAAAATCAGATTAGTTATGCCTCAACGCCAACAAGCTCTATTGCGCTCATCCGAAGCTGATATGCAGCTTACTATATTATCTCTTAATAGCCACTAGATTAAGACTGAGAGAGCTGCTGCTTGCGCGTTTAACGTCCCTCGAATGACGCTACGCGACAGACGCGCTGGCAGGCCTGCACGACACGAATGCCAGCCCAACTCAAAGAAGCTTACCCAGCTAGAGGAGGAGGTAATTGTTAGACATATACTTGACCTTGACCAGCGAGGATTTGGGCCTACGTATACAGCTGCGCGCGATATGGCTAATAAGCTGCTTGCTGCGCGTAGTGCAGGTTGCGTTGGCGTCTACTGGCCGCGCAACTTTGTTAAGCGTATAGACAGTCTTACGACGCGTTTTAATTAATCGTATAATAGGCAGAGAGCTCTATGCGAGGACCCTGTGCTAATTAGCCGCTGGTTTAAGCTGGTAGAGGAGACAAAGGCCAAGTACGGTATCTGTGACGAGGACGTCTACAACTTTAACAAGGCTGGCTTTATGATAGGCAAGATCCAGACTTAGCTAGTTATCACAGGGTTAGAGAGGAGAGGCAGGCCAAAGACTATCCAGCCTGGCAACCGCGAGTGGGTGACGGTAATTGCTGCAATTAACGCTGCTGGCTGGACAATCCCACCGTTCCTCATCTTTGCTGGCAAGTATCACCTATCTGCCTAGTACGAGGAAGCAGATATCCCACGCGACTGGGCAATCGCTGTCAGCGACAACGGCTGGACGACCAACGAGCTAGGAGTTAAGTGGCTTAAGCACTTTGTTAAGCATACAGAGGGCAAGGTGGTCGGAGCACGACGGCTGCTTATCCTTGATGGCCATGAGAGCCACTACTCTCTTGAGTTTCAAGAGCTCTGTAAGGAGAGCAATATCTACACGCTCTGTATGCCAGCTCACTCATCTCACCTACTGCAGCCTCTTGACGTAGGCTGCTTCTCGCCTATGAAGCGCGCGTACAGCCGTGAGATTGAGGCTCTGATGCGCTACAATATTAATTATATCACCAAGCTCGAATTCCTGCCAGCCTTTAAAGCAGCCTTTAATCGATCGTTTACCTCAGCCAATATCTGCTCAGCTTTTCGAGGCGCAGGCCTAGCCCCTCTCCAGCCAGACGCTGTTCTATTAAAGCTCAACGTGCAGCTGCGTACGCCTACTCCACCAGCTGCTCTCGCAGAGCCTCCCTGGGAGGCTCGTACACCAAGCAACGTACGTGAGCTTGAAGCTCAATCAACGTTAATACGTGATCGCGTGCGACGGCATAAGAGCTCATTACTAGCCTCAATTATTGAGGCGATCCACCAGCTTAAAAAGGGGGCTGAGGTGATGATGCTCTTAGCCGAGCTTATGCGCGATCAGATTACCTGCCTCGAGAGAGCTAATAAGGCAGCAACTAAGCGTAGGCAGCGCAAAAAGAAGCGAATACAGAAGCGTGGGACCTTAACAAAGGGAGAGGGAGAGAATATACTAGCTCAAAAGGAGGCTGACCAGCAGATTGAGCATGAACAGCGTTAAGGTGGTGAGCGATTGGGCCTCAGCCGCCAGGCTATTGCACGCTGCAGGAGATGCAGAGAGACTGGGCACAACTCACGAACGTGTAAAAAAGATGCTGTAGATACTATTTAATCTATTATGTTAGCCTCTTTATTCTACCTTATTCTGTTGTTGCGTTGCGTAGCTTTTAAGGTAATTAAAGTTAGTGAGGTGGACGACTCGCTTGTAAGGACGACTCGCTTATAAAACACGTTACACTTTGATACCATTACATGCATTATCAAGGCGAGTCACCGCCAATTATTGAACGTTCACATCCCATCCCATCCAGTTCATTAAGCAGAGTGATATCCAAGGTGACGCTGAAGACACTCCTACCTCTGGCCCGCTTTTGGCGGACCCTTCGCTGAACTGCTCTTGTGTTGAGGTGAGAGACGATCTCCTCGAACAGCTCTATTCAGCCTATACAACTCCAATAAAGCTGTTGTTTTTGTCTCTCCGTCTCTTTACCTTACCACCTTCTCACTCTGCTGCAATAACCAATTCGCTGTCTACGGCAATGCCTGATGATTCTGAGGTGGATCGATCCACGACTACAACTCCACTAGCTACCCCGTCTCGTGCTTCGACCTTGCCCACCAGCAGTATTGGTCGCTCGAGCATCTCCATGGAGCCACCTAGGATGGACAACGCCGCGGACTTCAAGTCATACCCGCATACACCGGGTACTGTCGACTTCACCCCACCCCAGTAAAATGCCATCAAAATTTTGCATGTTATCAGACTAACGTAGTCCACTAGAATGCTCATGCAAACCCCCATCACCATCGAATGTGAGCTTGACCTCAAGACCAAGCTCACTGTGCACGAGGAGCTTCTGTGCGTTCACAGCAAGCAACTCCTAGGTCAATTCGAGAAGGCAAAGTCGGCTAGGACGCAGTTCGCAAAGGCCGACGCGTTTCGTGAGAAAGTCGCAGCATACGTATTTCCGGAGTGTTCTCAGAAGGAGTTTGAAGACAGGCATTTGGAACAACAGGTACGTTATGTGAGCACAACTTGGATGTATACGACAATTCCCATTGTCAACGCGCTCAGTCATGTGCGCACCTCTAACTGAACTCAGCTAACATGTATCAGGTCAAACCACTGATTAAGCAGGCATCTGAGAACTACCCGCTGGTTGGGTACTCCACCGGCGTCAAGAAACTCATTATGGACGAAGTCACCTCCCAAATATCTGCCAGAAACGTCAAGAAGTCGGCCCCGAAGCCTTCACAGATCGCTTCAGACCTGAGCCTATCGGGTAGATTGGATCTCCTCAAGCCCCATGCCCTACAAGATGTAGCCTCTGCACTCTTCAAAAGACTCCACGACATCCAAAAGACCGAAGTCAAGAGAGCCGAGAAGGATCCTTTCAAAGCCGCCGCGCAACACCGTCTCATACTTCCTGACGTAAAGGAAGCGACTGTAAGATGTTTCATACAGTGGGTCTATCGAGCGCAGTGTTCATACGAGGGTTCTGAACAGCTCTACTCTGTTCTCAAGCTTGCTACACGACTTGGTGTTGATGAACTCGCTAGTATCTGTTTGAAACAATTGTACAGGGCCGCGAACGACAGTCTCATGCATGCTGAGAATCACGGTGTTCTCATCCAGACGCTTCTGGGATACGGTCCAGGTGTTGCAGCCGATGACAGTTTTGGGGTTGTCTTCAAGCACGCTGTCAAGGAAGACGATACTCCAAAGCAACTCAAGAGTCTGGTTATTGATACTTTGGCGGCAACACTCGATCCTGAGCTATGGCAGCATGTGAAGGGTTCGATTAATCACAGCATGGCTCTACAGGTCATTGAAGCTATGGTCGAGCTGCGTCAGCATGTCAAGTTGGAGACGGATGATCAAGGAGAAGGCGTCAAGTCTGAGCGCGATGATGTTATTAGTGCCTTCACGCAGTCAAACATCCCTGTTGACCACGGAGAGTTATCCCACGGTGGTGAGCACAATGGCAAATAGGTTTGAAGGCTTGCGACGTATGAGTGGGCGCTAAATTTGGTGGCGAGGGCACATATTTGATGTCTTCATGGATCGGAGACCCTTCACATGTCATGGCATCTGTTTTGCGTTCTTGTTTCTGCACCCTCGGATTGATTGGACTTCGATGTCACCAGCAGATATGTAATCTGATCATCGTCACTCTGCATCTTGTGTAGTACCTGTGACCAATCGGACATTAGTAGACTGTCGATCGACGCTAAGGGCGCGTACGAGGAAGGACGTTTTACTCGAGTCGTGGGCGACACCAAAAGATACCCTGGTATTATTCGCCTGCTTTGGTGTTACATTTTTCGTCATCCAAACCACAACAATCATGTTTACTATGTATGATGCGTGCAACACAAGAGTTGAGCTTCTTCGTACAGCAACTCCAGATCGACTTGTCCGGATTGTGATTTGCTCGATTCGTGTATGCGTAGGGTGATACTACGTACCCCGGCGCGCATGCCGAAGGCCATTCGGTCCCGTAGCCGTCCGAAACCGACATTCTTGTATCCCTTGAGTACCTCGTCTTGGACGAGTCATTTTTCACATACTAGGCTAACCAAGAGTATGGTGCGTCAATATGCAAAAGGACTCAGAAGGTATGATCATTACGGATGAATCAATTTAATAGATCTCAGTTTGACGTTTACTCGCTAAGACGGCTTTTCGCTGAGGTACACACATCAAGGCTCTTGCAAACCTCCACGCTCAATTCATCCACTGGCGTGCCTGCATCTCTTGACTGCTCCCTTCATAATGAGTGTTTTGTTGTCGATTATGCGTGGCTCATCACGTCCATATGTCATGATGAACTAGAGCATAGCTGTTGTCTGTCCACCATGCGTCATTTGCGTCCCGTATCGCAGTACTCGAAAATACTCCTTGGTCGTATCGCGCATTGTGCGTTGACTAGCAACAGTGGCGTCTATTGGGGTACCGTTTCGGTAAACGAACCACCCGTTGAATCTGGAGATGAGTACACCGCGCTATTTGCCCGATCGTGCGGTTTGCGCAACTAATATCCAGTCCAAGCTCTTCCTACTGCCTTCTTATGGGCGGATAACAGGTGGCGATTTCTGGTGTTTGTCACCTTGTCGCCTGAGTAGGGATTTTGCTCGTGTTTTCTCAAAGATAGTGGAGTTGTATTGATCTTGAAGATCATAGACGATCGATCGATTGTGAATGAACTTTCATAGATATTGCAAGTCAGGTCTACTCAAGAAGTCCCCTTGAGGCTAGAACGTCTGGCTCTTTATGGAGTCTTCTCATTGGCAGGAACCAGCTGCATCACCATATCAAACTTTTGGTTGCGAACAATGCCCCAAAGGGGAACAGGGCCGACCCGTATAGGGAGCGGCAAGCTGATGCTGATCCGACGCGTTTACCCGTGATCAATTCCACGTGGGAAGTAAATCCATACAGAATCAGTAACTTCCCCATGAAGCTCGTGCATGACAAGTTTATATTAAGTTATGAACAGTGCTCTTGTCTGCGCTGTATGTCTCAAGTTTCAATTCTTCTTCTTTGCAACAGCTACTATCTCTTAGATACAACTTCAAGTCATCCCAACAACTCCCTCTGACGTATTGTGTTCACCGTATTTATCGTGATTGGATGTGTGCAGATTTTGCTTCGAGCAACCGTCACGGCTTGTATGCTGGTTTCCACAGAATTCGACATTTTGTACAACATAACCCAGGTAGCCTACGTAGCTCCCGCAGGCTTGCTACATGACACAACGTGATACGTCAAACGGGAGTTGGACAATCGACGTAAAAAATTATCATAGCGTGTACGAAGACTGACGAAAAGGACTAGTAGAGAGCACTGTCGAAAGCTAGAATGAAAATTATCATCAGCTTCCTTACCAGCGTTAGCCGCGCATAGGAAGTCTCATCCTCACTACCGTCGTCCTACAAGGAAGACCTTGAGCTTGAAAAGGCGACGCATTCTCCGCAACATTTGTCATGGAGCAACAGTCATGTTTCGATTTTCAGAGCTTCTACAATTTCACCAATTACTCCACAAGGGCGAAGTACAATCAATCGAACCACGGCAACGCCAAGAGGATGCTTTCGAGCTGTCTGATATGTCAGATAAGGCGTCTGTATCACGTAATGACATCTCTCCACGTTCGTCTTTGGACTCAACGCGGTCAGCGTCTTCTTCAGCTTCCTATACCACTTCAACAGCAGAGACAAGAGCGTCCAATTCACTTCGACGACAACCCCCACCTCTTCCAACTTCATCATCGCTGTATTCTCATGAGAAAACGACCTCGTTTTCTTCACCGCGTGGCTGGTCTGGCATGTATCGCTAAGCGTTTGGACGATGGCCCTGCATCACAGTCGCTAGGCCGGCGCGTCGGTAACTATTTTTGGAACAGCGGTCCATGGCTCCGGCTATTGCGGTCACTTCGATGGTCGCGTCTTCAGTTTTGTAATCCGTACCAGTATCGTCAGCCCGCTCTCTTCGCTTTCTCGACTGTGCATTAAGTCGACCAACATACCTGATCTGGTCACATCAACTCGTCTCAAAGTGCAAAAGATCACAAAAGCGTGTGGAAGTTGAAACCTTGTTTGTGTTAAAGAGGAAAGTTGTAGAACGATTACGATGGTTCGGGAACAGAAGAGACCTGCTTTCTGGCATCAAGATCGGGCCCTTCCAGTGTATCGATGGTAGCTGTCGAGGGTTCTGATCTGGCGGATGCTTTGCAAGCATTAGAATTTATCATGGTCAAACACTTACAACGCTGACCGGCTGCATCAAGTCAGAATACATCATATATTGATATCTTTCGAAATGCATACTGTCCCTGTTCGTTCTCCTTGATACACTACAAGTAGATGTAGCACAGAGGCTCTCCGCTGAGAGTGCTCATAATATCACTAATCTTGACATCGGGAGTGTTCAGCCAGTTGGTCTCGATGGCATCATTAAGCGTAGTCCTTGGGCCGTTCGGGTCTAACATAGAGCGCGATCCCTCAACAGACTTGGCCTGGTCTAGGTGCAGCGCTTGCCAGATCCACCATACTCTGTCAAGCATTGCATGATGCATGAAGAAAACGGGGTCGTTGACACTACTGTAGAGGTCACCGCTGTCGCCACCTATGGCAAAATGACCCGAAGCGTGAAGACCTGAAGGTAAGTGAACAAAGTCAGTACAAAGTCCAACCACAGTCCATACAGAATACTACTGACCAAGGAAGCCATCGGTAAAACGACCCTGAAGTTCATTTTGAAAGGATGAAATGTCCTTAGATGCGGCACCAAGCGTGATGTTGTACAGGTTCTCGAAAGTAAACCATGTCTTAGATGCGAAATTGGTAAGATCCCTCTTCGCACAGCGCGGGTTCCAGGCCAGCGCTGATGCTGACTTGTTTGCTCCGGCCATGGTAGGGCTAATGGGTCCAAGGTTAAGTTGCACGCTGACGTTGTCAGTAAACGACACTTCAGTTGCGCAAGGCCAGAGACCTTGTAGTAGCTTACTTTTTGAACGGTCCGCTTTCGATGCAGCCACCACCATTGCCAGACGGTAGATAAATTCTGCCACCGCCACCAGTACTTCCATTGTGCTTGACATAGTAGCCATCACCACCCATGCTTGTAGCAGAACCATCGAAAACCGGGGACTTGCTCAGATCATCCTGGTAACTAAACCAGTTCCAGTACGGTTGGTAGCCAGTATAGCCACACTCTTCCCTTAGTGCATTCTCAAAGGAATGCACAAAGTACCTATGCCAGCTTAAGAAGTTTCCGGTACCATGAATGGTTCTGGTTTGATTGATGTGCTGTCCAACAAAGTCGTCGTATCGGGATCGAGCTCCAGGAACCAATGTCGGATCAGACTTAGAAGGTGAAGTGTACATACACTTGACAGCGCTACTATACGCTTTGCGCTCCTTTGCGGACATGAAATCCCTGTGGTTGTTAATCTTCACTATGTCGAAGTTGTATCGTGGTGCTGTCTACCAGTTTCGCCTGACGGGCGCTGTGGAAATATTGCACCCAGCTCTCCTCTCAAGCGTACCATTCCTCTCCGCCTCTTTAAGTGCTGCCAATGCTTGATCTTGTAGGTCCTGAAGAAGGTCACGGGGCTGCAACGCAGCAGACTCAAGTAAGCTGGCCAATGCCAGGATAGCGGTGGGAAGACTGCAGAAACGCATTCTGTGAACAAGGTTGACCAAGGAAGACAAGTAGCTGCGAGAAGGCTGTCCAGCATCGAGTGCGTGCAAATCGTCTAATATGAATTCCTACGGCCCCCTACTAATCTACGTTTGCATGTGGCGACATGGGTCGGGCCCTTGCATCCGATTAGACCGCCTTACACGGACGACTCCTGCTACTTGTGGCAATGGATCGTATGCAGCAAGTAGCTTGAGATAGGTCACTCTTTGCTGGGCCGTCCTGCCTGCATGTAACCATGCCATTCCAGATGCCGGATGCGACGTTCAAGGACTAGACGCAGAACATTTTGCCGCAGATGGACCTGTCAACTGCACTGGTAAAGTTCATATACGGGAATGGAGAATTATTGTCGGAAAGCATGTGTTCATCAGCATCCATGTATGCTTGCAGTCACTTTTTGGGCAAGAATACGTCCGAATGGAAATATTTTCGATCGCAATGTGCTTGAGGATGCCGAAATTCAGGGTTCTCAGGGCGTGGACGGGCCGCTCCAAGGACAACTACACCGCAGCCACGCAGGAACGGCAAATCTTATTCACCCATCGGACGGTAGCTGTAGGATTTAAAACGGGCTTCCGTTCATGGGTTCTCGCATCGTTCGAGCGTCGAGCTGATCGCGATCTCCAGGTTCCTGATAAATAAAAGAGGATGTGGGCGCTGAAGTGTTCTTGTTGCGAACGGGAATCGAATGATAGGTATCTAGGCAGTGCGGAAAGCTTCCGTTCCCGACCGGCCGCGAAATATCGGTCTTGATGAACTTGTCCTTGTCAAACATCACTGCGTCCCATAGCCTCTTGTCCTTCACGCTACTCAGCCACCCCATATTGTTGTTTTCCTTTCGTTCGCATCGCGTCTCGTACTACTTCTGCACCCAAACGTTACGAGCGATCTGATGCCATGGTCTTTGACGAGCGGAGCTTGGTCTAAAGCACCATGACGCTTCTCAGCCACTAAGACTTCCTCTCTCCTGTGATCCTCTGCGATTCATCGTAGACGTCCATAAGTAACAAGTATCAATCCCTATCTCACTGAGTGTTGTCTTCGGCCTCATTCCAGTGCTCTTTCCGGAAGTGCGCGATGAACGCCATGCCGAGGTCCTTGAGGTCCACGTTGCAGACTGGACATTCTTCAAAGTCTTGGTTCTGCACAGCGAAGTTCCAAAGTCGTGGGACATTCTTCAGGATTTTATCTTTCAACGGCTGGGAGACATACCCCTCTATCAGAGCCCGGAAACGAGTATGGTTGTCTTTCCAAGCAGCTCCCAAGGCCAATGACCGTCTCCGGGCAGGAGTGCTCGGCTCCGATGCTCTAAAAACTGTAGATACGTCTTTGTACAGCTGTACAGTGTGGTATTCCAACGATGTGTCCGCTGTCTCTTGACACACGTGCTGTACAGCCCTGATCTGATCTACTATAAGCTCCACTTGTGTTAGTCGCATTGACACATCGTTGTGGCAACGCGAGCGGACGATGACCCTTGCACTGGTTGTTGTAGAGAAAATCATTGTTGGACAGAACGGTGGTATGGTTGCAGTCTGACCAGCGCGCTGAACGAAGGTGATGCCTTCTTGTAAGTCATTGCATACGTTTGCATGCTTTGGCGCAGGAAATTTGGTGAGGTCTAGCAAATACTTGTGCATAGTCGTCATGTTATGTGGCGTCGGAGGATACACGATGTAGATGCGCACACCGGTAATGAGGTGTATCGTACTGCTGCTTGTCATAGCTGACGCTTCTAGAGGAAGAAGAGCACCGCAATGCATGATCGAAGTAATGTTCGCCGACAGCTGTGGGAGAGTGTTCGAAGCCTCGTTGCCACCTACGAAGTGCCTGAGACATCAGTCTACGGCGGACGATCGGAAGGTGAGTGTCGTCGCATACTCGGTATACTGTGAATTATCTAAATGCTGCAGCAGTCTCCCCACTGTTGCTTCGCGATGTGCTTGGCTTAGCAGTGGAAGGCATAAAGGAGGAATTAGAGGAGGGTAGAATTGCGCGTCACCAATCCACGATTGATCCATCTTGAGGATCTTTGACAGTGAACGCGGGTGCAATCGTCGAGCACCCGTATCGTGCAGAGCTGATATTGTGGAGCAATCCCATTCAGAAGGTCCATAGCCCTTTTTGAACTCGTGGACCACAGTCCCACTGCTGGAATCGAGAAACCTCATACGAGTCGGAACCATGAGCTCGGCAATCTCCTCCACACTTATAACTGGACATGACTGGAGTTCGATAACGACAGGGTCGAGAAACCACAGATTCTGATTAGCCGATGTGATTTTGCAATTGGCAGCCATGGTGGGGCAGCGGTCGCTTTCTGTGCCTGCAAAGTGTGCGTTGATTGTGCCACAAGAGAAATGGAAGTGAGTGGATTAAAGGGCTTGAATGTGCAGACAGATTCACAGAAGAAGGAAACTCTCGCGCTAATCCGGACGTGACTGCGGCCATGACCCACTGTCTCAACGGCAACCTCAAACCTGATCTGTTCTCATCGTACGCGATGGTTTCCGCTCCAGACTCAGCTTTCTGTTCGTGATAGGCTCATACCGTTTCTCCCTGTCTCCCATCTCCCTCCCCTCCCCCATTCACCAAGATCACCATCACTGTCTTCCCCATCTGTACCAACGCCCCACTGGCTTTCCCCGTCCCAACTCTCACTCTCACTACGCTGCTCTTCTTCGATAACTATCTCAACTCTGCTCTCGAGTACCATGTTCTCCTTGCTTTCGCTTGCCGTGGATTCCTTCAGCTCAGTTCCATCGTCCACTTCATCGATCGCTCGTTCTAAGTCGCGATCCCGTCGTTTTCGTCGAAGATAGGTGTACTCGAGTACGAGTAGAAGTAGAATGACGAAAACAGCAATGGAGGCAGCGATAATGCCAGCCTTTGCTGTAGCGGTGAGCTGGGGTGAGGGTCTAGGTGAGTGCTTTGTTGGAGCAGAAGGCGTGTAAGCGATTTCTTCGAGCGGCAGATGACCGGAAGAGACGCCTTGGTCTACGATGATGCTGGTTGCTGAAGCTATTGTTCGCACACCGATCGTATTCGTAGGTGGGGAGTCAGAATTACAGGTCTATGCAAGCATATCAGTTACCTATCCATCACAGAGCTCCTGGGCTAACACTTACAATGCATCCTGTTTCCATAACATCTCGTCCAACATCGATGGAATATGCCCTACGAACGTCTGCAATACCCATGACAGCAACGGCGACGACAGAAAGCATGTTCACAACGCGAACAGGTCGCTAACAACCAAGCGTGAGTAGGAAGATATCAAGAAGCAGGTGTACAAGTAGAGGGGAACGCAATTTCGTTGCTCCCAAGTCAAACAATTGCAACAGTCCTGTCATGCATATGTGCGGCAGTATACCTGCAGTAGCACTCTAACGTGTCGCTGTCTCGAACCTCGACAAGTCGTTTTCGCAGCCTCAGTTACGCGGCGGCGCTCTACTCAGACCACATAGGAACCCGCAAAAGGCGAAGTCAGGGACAACAAGAGTATAGGATTATTAGTTCGGCTATCGCGAAGCATCATTCATGCAAACATCGAGGTTGCATGCATTTTTTCACCGACACCTACCGGCCAAAGTCATTCTAACGGGAGAGGAAGAGCATGGAGATTTTGAAACACGCCACTCCCGCCCCACTACGTACAACATACACGCTGTGAGACATACGACCAAAACAAAGCTTCTCCAGCCGACTCTGTCGCCGACATACCGCTGGTCTCCATTAATCATCGCCATTATCCGGCTTTGGACATTTGCCTCGTTACCTCTTCGCTTCGGTCTTTGACAGATCTGCTTATTTCGCGCCATTCTCAGATGCTTAGGCAGCTGACCCTTCAATGACAAGCTCTTTGTTTACACTCAGATAGCTCTTGATCTTACATCTCAATCCGTCGTGCGGTTTACCCTGAAGACACGTAAGATAACTGGTCGGTTCCTTCGCGTCGTTTGCTGTTATAGCTGTGTGGCCTGAGTACGTCGAGACAAACAGGTCACCGTCTTGTCTACACAGTAATCAGCGTCAGTGTATGTCGACACATGCATGATCGTGAGGATGTCGTAAAAAGCCAAGAAAGCATACCTGTTCCTGTACAGCCACAGCGAAAAGCTCAACTCAGCCCTTCGTTCTCCAAGCCCATCATACTTCTGCATCCCAAACATCAAGCCGCCTTCTCCATCTTCCTCATATCTTACACAACCGATCAGCCGCTCCGTGATAGTACCATTTGCCATGGCACCCTGACAATTCCACTTTGCCAGTCCTGTCGCAGCTGGAACCATCACGTCAAAGTCAATGGTAGAATCGAACTTTGAATCTTCAGGCCAAGGTGGGTTACCCGGAATACCAGTGCCGATGCTCATCATATGCATGTCCAGACGAGGAATCTGCCATGTTTCTGTCGTAATGGTTTGGAGAGCAGATAAAGTGTTTGGCAGAGCGTTCGCAAGAGGTGAAAGAAGTGCGAAGGCGAGACATATAGTGTATAGTGCCATGTTGCCGAAGTCGTTCGATACTGTTGTTGCTCTAGAAGGCAGTTGATTTTTCAGCTGTTCTCGTGTAATGATGAACTGAACGTAGGCATTTATCCAGTATACACACAAGGAAAAAGGCTCTCTCATATTCCCGTTTCGTTTGCGCCTCTCTTGGGTCGTGTTCTGCGATGCAACCCTTCCAAGGTATTCTGTACTATGACGCAGCCCTGGCACCAACTGTAGCGAGCCATAGCACCACCCCAACCTATAATACAGGTGAGCAGTACCAGGGTACCCGCTTGCCTCGTACAAACTTTCCAGCTTTCCAGCTTCCACGTCCAGTGGAGAGTGTTGGGATCGACCTACAGCTGAGTATTGGCGAGGTGTCTGCAGAATAAGGTAGTTGTTGCTGCACAAAGGTACCACGCCGCGTCGCACGAACACGATATGTCAAAGGAAATGGTTACATAGCCACGTACGGATACGGGTACCTCAATATATTCTCCGCGCACGCCATGCGATAGCGCTGATAAGAAGGGCGCTAAGAATGTTCGATGCGCGATCGATATCGCGCGTTTGCTAAGCCGTAACACTGGTATCATTATGCACCTGCGCCATTGCCAATGCCAATACCCTCCGCCGTTAAACATGTCGAACCGTAAACGCCTCCTGATTACCATGGCAGCAGTGTCACATCTTACACGAGATGCTTTCGTCTACCCTTGGGCAGCACTTATACAGTTTTACATCTTCAAGCGACAGCAACGCTCCGCCGAACTGCCAGGGCGATCTCTGCCATACTTGACAAATTCCACTCACCCGTTTTTCCTGTTGCAACCGGGACATGTTCTCCAGAGTTGATGATATGCACTTTCATCTTCTCGTGATACTTGAGACCAGGCAGAAGTTTGGGTGTCACAAGAAAGTATTGACTCGTGTTCTCCTGGCACGCAATATCCACCATGCGTCCATGTACCATACGTTCGTTGCGAGGATCCATACCCTGATTGATTTCGTCGACGACGCGGAAGGGCGATTGGGCGAGGTCTTGTAGCGCCATGAGGTAGAAGACGGTTGAGACGGAGCGCTCGCCACCGGATTGGCGGTGGGAGTCTAGGACGCTGAGACTTTCATTTTCTCTATTAGGATCATTAGCGTCGTTTCATTCACGGACCAGGAAAAAACTGACCGGAAGCGGACGGAGATCTGGATGGACCATTTGTCAAAATCTGCTTCGTGTTTGTTCACCTGGACGTCTCCTGCGCATCCGATCATCTCAAATTGTTGCGCGAAGGCTGCGCTGATTTTGCGGACAAGACGATCGAGCTCAGGCTCCCACTTGCCGCGGATCTCGTTGATCTCATCCTTGATTTGCTCGAGATCACGGGCGTACTCGTCCAGCTTGATTCGTGCTGTTCTGATTTCCTCTTCGCGCTTCTCGTAAGCTTTGATCGCCCCAGGATTGCCTTCAGCCATCATTCCCAATCGCGCAGTGACAGACTGTATCTCTATGTCCAAGTCATCGATGCTGGGGATAGATTCTTTGTATGCGAGTATCATCCGATTCTCCTCCTCGGTGCAGGTGCTAATTTCTTCCTGCGTGACGTTGAAAATCCTCCTGTAGTCACGCCGAAGGGCTTGATGGCGTTGATCAAGCTCGGCGATCCTGTGCTGTTGTGCTTGCTGTTTCTGCAATATTTCGCTGTTCTCCTGTATTAAGCCCCTGAGTTCAGACTTGGCTTCGATGAATCTAATCTCAGCCTCCACGTGCGATTCATGAAATGCTCTCATCTGCGTGACAGCTTTCTGTAAAGCAGATCAGCAAATGCTATACGAAAGAATAAGCGTAACTTACAGCATATTCGAGCGTCAGACTAGCCGCCTTCAGAGATGCGACACGAGCGTCAGCTTTGATTGCTCGAATGCGGTCGGCCGTTTCCGCAATCTTCTGTTTATGACTGTCCAGGTCCATTTGTTTCATTGCTATATGGAATCAGCAAACATGCTCTTTCTCTCATAATTGAAACACACACCGATCTTTCCAGGAAGGGCTTCCCATTCGGCCAGAGCTTTCCTGATGCCGTTTTGCTCAGCTTGGACGATTTCCTACCTCCTTATTAGTAAATAGAGACCGCATATACCAGCAGGAACCTATACCATTTCTTGTCTGAATTCTGCAATCTCCTCGTTGAGGGTCTTCATTTCATTCTTGACTACAGTGTTTTCCTCTTGCAGCTCTTGTTTTGTTCGCACTAGCTCACGTTGTTTTTGTTCAAGCTCCCGCATCTCATCCGCGTTGGCTGGCTGGTCAACGAAAAATTGTGCCGGTCTAAGTTTTGTGACAGATGTTGAAGCTTGGCCGTAACGTCGAACAACGCGATTCGTGAGCACACCACTGACCCAGCTGTGGATCGGGCTGTTTGTTACAGCCTCATGTTGCTCGTCCGAGATTGGATTTGCAGCATAGGCGATCTGGTGTAATCTGTTGTTGTCGCAAAGCATTGCCAAGACTTCATCCGGCCCTTGAAGGTAGTCTAACATATATCCCTCAAACCCGTAACAAGTCAGTTCTGCTTCAGAGACAGGCTTTTGATACGCAGAGAGAGGCTTCGGCGATGTTCGAAGATGGACGTCGTGAAGTCCTTGCCCGCCGTTCTCTTTCTTGGTTAGGAGTTTGTTCATAAGTAGCTTTTGATCATCTTTGTGGGTACAGGTAATGGCAACGACATCACCCCTTCTCAACTGCCCTTCGACGGCCTGAGCATACCTAGGATCTATGACGGAACATTCTAGAATCGGCGGACCGCACACTTTGCCTTTCAGATTTAGAGAATCTTTGTGCTTCTGAACCCAGTCCCATGCAGCAGCTGTGTCGTGAGAAAGTCTCTGTAAGAGACTGGCCTGTTTCCCGCTTTGAGTATTCAGCCTTGCGCGGTCTGCTTTCAGCTTTTCATTCTGCCTCGAGATGTCAGGCACGCGACGGTTCCTCATATCGAGTAATATGTTTTCCTTTTCCACGACAAGGCCCGCCCTAGTTGATATCTCATTACGTAGAGCTGCCTTGCGTTGCTCGTAAGACTCTGCGTCGTAATGCTCGGGCTCACTGTTTTGCTGTTGCTTCAGCTTGACGATCTCATGATTTAGACGGACCATGTCTTGCTCGCTCGTCTTCTTCGATGCTAGTTCAGCACTAATCATCGCCGTAGATTCTGCTGCCTTCGTCTTTTCAGCGTCGACCTTTCTCGCAATGTTGTCGGCTTGAGTCTTGATCATATCGACGCGGTTCTTGCGAAGGCGCACAACCTGCTGTATTTGATCCTGATATGCTTCAACCGCCGACTGAGCTTGACGCGCTGGCTCTATGTCGACGTTGATCTGATCGAGCTCCAGTCTTGCTTCTCGGATTTCCGCCTTGATATTATTAATGTTTGTCTTGAGGTCCTTCATCTCGATCATAGGCCTGACCATCTCTAGACATTTTGCTTCTCGCTGTAGATTTTCGCGCTGGTGGTGACGGTCCACATCGCCTCTTAATGAGGTCTGTTGTTTTTCCGACTTCTCAAGACTCTCGCGTTGCTTGGTCTGCTCATCCTCCTTCGATCGCTCGCTTACACGCAGGGCCTTTAGCTGATCATGCCACTCTACCATGTAAGGAGGCGCTGCAGCGCGTTGAGTTTCTCGTAGACGGTCGACGTCGCTCATCATGGAGAATGCAACAACACGGTCCTGCGGCAAGAACTGGCACAGGTTGTCGATTTGAATGGAGTATCCTTTGGCCATCGCTACGACATCTTTCTGGGTGACGCGCCTATCTTCTAGGAAGAAGACAGACTTGTTGTCTTCTTTACGAATGAGGCGCTTGACTATTCGATTTGGGCCCTTGCCAGAGCCCGTTGCAAGCTCGATCTCAATGACGGCTTCTGTCGCGCCGTGTTTGACGAATTGGCCCAGCTCTTTAGCTCTGCCCAAATGTTCACTGTTCCATCCGAGACCCAGGCAGATTGCGCAGACCAAGGTGCTCTTTCCTGTACCGTTCGGACCGATGATCATGTTCAGGCTTGGTCCCAAATGAAACTCGGCGGCCGTGTATGTGACGAAGTTTGTGAGCTTCACTCTGACGAGCGAACCCGGTTTGAAATCGTCTTGAGCGTGTGCGGTCGAGCCGTTCCGGTGGCCATTTGTTCGGAGGGAGCCGTTGGGCGCGTTCTGTTCGTAGCGTGCGCGTTTGCTGGCGGAGGACGGTGGAGAGGAGGAGGCGGAAGATTCTTCGTCTTCATCTTCGCTGACCGCGCGCGACGGGCGTTTTCGACCTCGCTGAACGATACCAGGCATGGTCGCGATTTGTTTGTGTGGGTCGCCGTATGTGGAGTATGCAGTATGAGGGAGGGGATGGAATGACGGGAACTATCCATTAGCGTGACGCGATGGCTCCGTGCGCCGAACGCGATCACGTGCTGTCGTGTGGACACCTCCATGCTAGCTCTAGTCGGTTGTCTTTCATTGTACAATCACTTGCATATCGCAGGATGAAGAAGCACCGCTCTCACTCTTATACTCATTGTCTACTAATACACGACAACTCAATGCACGCAAATCACTTGCCCACCCAATAAACTATGCTTAGACCAAACTGAACGCCAAATCTAACAAATCATGTCACAACGTGGAACCTAGAAACTGGCCTTTCCACGCACGCACCTCATCACTCGGCTCACGCCCACGACTTCCAGTTGCTGTGGTTGATGCCTGAAAACGGGTGTACGAATGAGAGAAAGTGCCGACGCAACCAGTGCTACGACACGTAAAGCAGAATGATAGCTCTTAGAATATGGTGCCAAAGTTCTCCTCAACCATTGGAAGCGGCTTCCTAGGGCTTGACGGCTTGCCGTTCTCGTCGGCCGTCTTCTTGTGGCGGAAGGTGACTGCAATACAGATTAGCGATTTGACGAAACACTAGTATTCGTCAAGACTTACATCCAACAAATAGACCCTTGCCCATCTGAACGTTGCGGTCTTGCATAGCCTCCAAAGCAGCCTGCTTCTCGTGTACTTCCTTGTATTTCGCCATGTCGGCTTCATTGCCGAAATCGTCAAAGTATCCAGCGTCGGTCTCGCTGTCCAACTCCGGTACGAACGGTGCCTTCTGCTCCCTCAACCTCGTCCAGTCGACCTCAGCAAAGTACTGATGGGCATGAATCTCAGAAATGTTGCGGAAGCGGGTAGACTTGGATGCTACGAGACGGACGATGAGGTCCCAGGTGCGCTTCGACAGGAAATAGGAAGGATCTTCGTAGACGGGTTTCCGCAGGACCTTCTTCCATTGTTTCAAGTTTTGCCAGGTTTCGTCAACCGTGGCACCAGCGAAGGGTGGATATCCGGCTAGGGCCTCGAACAACATACATCCCAGGCTCCAGTAGTCGACTGTGAAATCGTACTCGTCACCCTTCAACACTTCAGGCGCCATGTAGTCAGGGCTTCCAACGATACTCTTGGCGTAGTTGACGTCCCGTTCGCGAAGAGAGCGGTAGTTTTCCCGACGCTGTGCTGCCGATCGGTCTTCGATAGGACGGCCAAATGGCGACACAACGTCACTGACAGATTCGAGCTTGATACGCATAGACTCAATCTTTGAAGGCGCAAGGATACCGGCTGCAAGGCCAAAGTCTGTTAGCTTGACGTGTCCAGTGCTGTCGATCAAGAAGTTCTCAGGCTTCAAGTCGCGATGAATGTAGCCCAGCTGATGCAGCGAATCGATACACGAGAACATTTCGGCAATGTAGAAGCGGGCATGTCGGTTGTGCAAGACACCAGTGTTGTTGAGCAAGGTTCGGAAGTCACCTCCGGGGACGTATTCCTAGCAGTCGTCAGTTCATTACGCAATGCTTGCTCTTGTTGCAACTCACCATGGCGAGGTAGATGCTCTTATCGTCTTGGAAGGCGTAGAGTAGGCGGACAAGCCACTCGCTCTTAGCAGTGGTCAAGATATCGCGCTCTGTCAAGACGTGGCGAACTTCATCCAGCTTGAAGAGCAGCTTCTTGCTCATGACCTTGAGGGCGCACACCTCGCGTGAGTCCTTTTTCTGGGCCAAGTATACCTGTCCATAGCCACCCTGACCGACTTGTGTGAGGATCTGGAAATCACCCTGCCGTAACCGAGTACGTCGCTTGCGGAGGTTGGCGCGCTCGCGGCCGAGATATTGTGTAAGGGCATCGTTGTATTCCTCTTCTGGTGTATCTGGCGGTGGAGGGTTCTGGGCCTTGAACTGAGACAGACGGCTCTGGCGACTGTGCACGTAAGTGAGCAGATCGTAGTAGTAATCGAGGAAGTCTGCAGGTTCCATTAGCACTGGCTCGAGATGGTTTGATCCAGACCTTACACAGCTGAGTCACGTTGGCCAGGCGCTTGACGGCCGGCTTCCTTGCCTTCTCCAATTCCTCTGGTGACAAGCGCTGTGGGCCGTTGATGTAGCGCGTGGACTGCTGGCCTTCCTCGCGTGTCCTGTAAGGCTCCTGCCGCGACTGTGCTGCGTGCGTGAGATAGCTCGACTCCTTCTGCAGGCCCGGGCGACCACTGAGGGGCGTGTTCTCTTGATTCGACTTGCGTGTGGGGCTGCCCGGTGCATGACTTGGGCTGTCCGGTGCGCTGTAGTCACCTAGCTGCAGTTTGTTGGGCAGTGTTGGTGTTGCGGGCTTCGTCTTGGAGGGCGAGCCCATGGTGGGTAGCAGCCTCATGGCATTTTCGAAGACGTGTGGCAGATCGAATGCGCCGGGCGGCTGGTGGTGTTTGCTTGGACTGCCCTGGGGCGTCTGCTGCGGGCTCATGAAGGCCTCGGTCGGCGTGCCTGGGCGATCCATTGCGTTGTCGCGGGTCTGCAGTGGGGGTGGAGGGGCGGGCAGCTGGAAGTTGTCTCTATTGCCGTCTTCCATGATGGGCTACTGGGCGATAGGGCAGGAAGGAGCGGTGGATGGGCAGCAGCGAATAGCCGCGGGGGACAGGCAGGCAAGCGCGAAGAAGCAAAAGGCTAGCAATGTGGGCGCAGGCAATCGGCGACTGTGGTTTTACAACGCAACACTTTACACGCCTTCGTAGTTTGACGGGCGCAGGGTGTAGAGGGTCAAGTTTGTGTTGATGGCGGGGTGCATGTTTTGGGCTAAGTGTGGCTCCGGGCAACGATGAATTCCAGGCATCCCGGCAAGTGGAGCCCATCTGCGATCGACGCAAGGTCCTGACATGCAAATTCGGTAGCCACGAAGATGCTGATGTTGATCTCATGCTCGGCACGTATTATGTACATATCCAATCTGACGCCCTCTGTTTCCCAATTACCCACATCCTGTGCAACCGTCAGTAAATACCACCGCCAAACAATAACGCCCTGAGTAGCCGACCAAGATTACCCGTCCGAAACAATGATATCACAGCTCTAAGAACAGTATCCTCGCTCCCATCTCGCTTCCCAACCCTCATGTCTGGTAAAAATGGCTCTGAAACTCCTGGGCCTGCATTTCTGCGCGAGCAAGTAGTTCTTGTTCGCGGGCAAGAAGTTCGATAAATGCCTGCCCACGCGAAGATGCGTGTAGCAAGGGTGGGATCCATCGGGGCTCTTCTATCAGCTGTGCCCGGCACATGGGACAAGTAACTTTGTTCTTATGTTCTCTGCACGTATCAAACTGGGCTGTGTTAGCAGGCAAACAGCCTCTTCTAGGTACTTATACTGACCCATTGGTTTATGCAAAACTCTCCAAATCTGTGTCCGCAAACTAGCTGCACAGCATTCTCCTCGTCTTCTGTGGGTGCTACAAGTGTCGTGGCGTAGTCTTTCTGACAGATATCACAAGTTTTGGACGCATCCTCTGGAAGCGCGCTTGGTAGATGCCGATTCAGGCTGAGCTTCAGTATATTGATCTGGCGAGCAGTGGAAACATTGGGGTCACTAAAAGTCTGGCGGCCTGGCGGCCGTGGTCGTACTTCTCTTGGTCGGTGCCTCATGCGGTTCGATGGTGGCGCACGGGCAGCCGCTTCTTCTGCGTCAGACGACGTGCTCGACTGTGAGAGGTCGACCGAGTACCGCTCGAAATTCCTACGATTCGAGGCGCGCGGGGAGGTACTACGATCCGAGCGGCGACTCGGACCCGGAAAGGATATCCATGGAGGTTGTTCGAATCCGGGATATGTTTGTTCCCTTGCTTGACTCGGTGCTTGAGGTGGTGGTCTCGGATCTCGAGCCCGGCCTCCTGGTACTGGCTCTCGATGTCTTGCATAAGGGCCACGTACAGTGTTTGCACGTGCACTGCGGGCAGTTGGTCCGACGCTCGTCCTTTGATTGCTGCGGGGTGGACTATATGAAGGTCCAGCGTTGAAAGATCCGAACAGAGGAGGATTGCTGTAACCTGCTGACATTGGGAAAGGGTAGCTCTGGACGCTGACACCATTGTTATACAACGTCTGGCCCACCAGCGGCTGATCAAACACGTTTCGCGTGGGCGACGACCTTGAGGGATTCATGACTGGATACGGTTCATATGAGTATGTGGCGGGGGGATAAAAGTGTCGACGATTGCTCCCCATAAATGGCAAAGGCGAACTTCCCGATGGATAATTGCTTGTAGGCGGCACGAGAGGCATGGAAACCGACGGATGATTTCTCTCAGGTATGAGGGGTGCTGAAGTGTTGCCACCGAGCCCATGGTAGTTTTGATATATGGGTGGAAGTTGTTGTTGAAACGGTCTCTGTGAAGAGAGAGTCGGGGCAGTCAGCTCTGCATGCGGATCTTCAGGATCAGTGGTATATTGAGGCCAAGAAGTTGCGCCGTTGTCATTGTGAGCCATGATAGATGTCTTGTAGAGGATTTGCGCTTGCGTTCACAAATGGTACCATGAGCTGTGTCAAGTGGTGGTAAGCGAGTGTCAGGATAGAGGCGGATGCCGATGTTGATGTTGATGCTGATGCTATGAAATATGGAGTTGCAACTGTTGCCAGTCAATGTTCGGCCTTGATTGAGGCAGTCGTTGGGAAGAGAGCTTCGTAGCAGAAGGCTCGATGAGCGTCATGAAAGCCTTATCTGCAGCTAAGCAAGTACGTGTGGCCAAACTGAACCCGTGCTTCACAAATGCACACACAAAGGCGAAGTGAAGTTGAAGATACAATAGCAGGCTGCGAAAGGGCAGTAGGCAGCAAAAACGGAGTGGACCGTTTGTTGAGGCTGGAGTCTGAGCCGTAGGTGAAGATGAGGGGTCATTAGCTCCATGTTACGCTGGCTCGCTCGAAGACGAGCGCCCAGCATGGATCGAAAGGATGGTGGAGACAGATCAGGTGCGCTCCGACTTGACTCGCTACGTTAATCTAATATGACCAGGCGTCGGAAGACGGAAAGCGCAGGGCACATGGTTCCAGGGCGTCACGCCGCAACCTAGCTTCCAAGTGTACTTGGTCGTTTGCCATGGTAGCTCTAGATCGTCATCAGAGGGCGGAGTCTAACATCATCACCCAATAAATTGGACCCTCAGCCGAACCCAACGCAGCGATGCAGAGAGAAGTTCGGGCGGGGACAGGCCTTAGGTACGAGGCGTGTTTCACGCAGCAGGGTGTGCCCGATAATGCCGAAGCTTTTGATCGGTGACTATGCGGAAAGTCCACTAAGGACCGACCGAAGCAGGCAAAGCAGATCTACACCGAGAGAGGGCCAGAGTCTCCACCAGAAGAAGCAGGACGAGACGTGGCATCTGAGAGTGCTGCGCGGCCTGGTCTTGGGAGAATGGGAACAGCGTGGCTGGCCAGGGCGGTGGGACATGATGGAACCGCCGCATCAGCGCAAAAAAGGAGACGGAACGCTTGACGTTGCATGCGCAGGTCATCACAGGCTAATGCTGAGCATTTGGCGCCGGGGTGCGGAAAGAGAGCGGAAGAATGACACGGTGCTGGATGGCGGGATGGCGGCATGTCGGCTTGGTGGTAAAAGTTAGCAGCGGACCTCTGGCAACAACGGCGGGCAACAACCATGAATTCGACAACGCCCTCTTCAGAGCTTCCAAGGTCCAACTGGAGGGGCATTCCACCCGTAGCTTGGCGTTTGCTGGCGAGTCACGTGCACTCCATGGAGGCCGCGGGAAAGACCGGAGGGAATTGCCGCGGACATGAGGTCAGAGCTCTGAACTGGAGCATTTTGACTCGCAGCGCAATTGTTCGTCTCGTCTTCAGATTTGCGACTTGCGCCTTGGTGTTCACTGCGCACCTCAATTAGCCAATCCGGCATCTGCCCCCCATTTCCACTCCATCCCATCCCCACAAACAGCTGCTGCAACCATGTTCCGAAGCGCAGTCAAGCTCCGCGCCGCCGAGGCCGGAGCATTGCGATCACTCGCACATGCAAAGGCCAGCCCCTCCTTCTGCTGTGCCCGCAGCACGCGTCCGCTCTCCACCACTCGATACACCCCCGTGAAGTCGCAGAGCCAGTTCCAGCGCCGCCAATTCAGCGTCACCAGCAGCATGGCCAACACACGAACCGAGAGCGATGCCTTTGGCGAGATCCAGGTCCCCTCGGACAAGTACTGGGGAGCCCAGACGGAGCGCTCGCTGGAAAACTTCAAGATCAACCAGCCCCAGGACCGCATGCCGCCGCCCATTGTGCGCGCCTTCGGCATCCTCAAGGGCGCTGCTGCCACGGTCAACATGAAGTTTGGGCTGGGTATGGCACGTTGAAGAATGCGAAGGCGACACGGCTAACGCCCATGCAGACCCCAAGCTCGGAAAGGCCATCCAGCAGGCCGCTGACGAGGTTGCCTCCCTCAAGCTCATCGACCACTTCCCGCTTGTGGTGTGGCAGACAGGCTCTGGCACCCAGTCCAACATGAACGCGAACGAAGTCATCTCCAACCGCGCCATCGAGATCCTCGGCGGCACAATGGGCAGCAAGAAGCCAGTCCACCCCAACGACCACGTCAACATGTCCGCCTCCTCCAACGACACCTTCCCCACCGTCATGCACATCGCGGCCGTGCTCGACTTCGAGGAGTCGCTCCTTCCCGCCCTCACCAGCCTCCGCGATGCGCTGCAGAAGAAGGTCGACCAGTGGGAGAACCTGATCAAGATTGGCAGGACACATCTCCAGGATGCTACCCCTCTGACTCTCGGCCAGGAGTTCTCTGGATACGTACAGCAGCTCGACTTTGGCATTGAGCGGATAAAGACCTGCCTCCCGCGCCTCAAGATGCTGGCACAGGGTGGAACAGCCGTCGGAACTGGTATCAACACATTCAAGGGCTTCGCCGAGGACATTGCCACGGAAGTCAGCAAGATGACTGGCAAGGACTTCGTCACCGCACCCAACAAGTTCGAAGCCCTCGCTGCCCACGATGCCATCGTCGAGGCCCATGGCCAACTCAACACCCTCGCAACCTCCCTCTTCAAGATCGCCCAAGACATCCGCTTCCTCGGTTCCGGACCCCGATGCGGTCTTGGTGAGCTGAAACTGCCTGAGAACGAGCCCGGTTCTTCCATCATGCCCGGCAAGGTCAACCCCACACAGTGCGAGTCCCTCACCATGGTCTGCGCCCAGGTATTCGGTAACCAGGCCGCTACTACCTTCGCTGGATCGCAGGGTAACTTTGAGCTCAACGTATTCAAGCCCGTCATGATCCGCAACCTGCTCCACAGCTCGCGTCTGCTTGCGGATGGCATGCGCAGTTTCGAGAAGAACCTCGTTGCTGGTCTGGAGGCCGATGAGAAGCGCATCAGCTCCATCATGAGCGAGAGGTAAGTCACATTACTCGAATCAAATGTCCTTCATGTAGCTAACTTGATATAGTCTCATGCTTGTTACCTGCCTTAACCCCGTCATCGGCTACGACGCTGCTAGCAAGACCGCCAAATACGCACACAAGAACAACCTCACCCTCAAGGAGGCTGCTCTCAAGCTCGAGGTCATCA